TCCAGGGCTCTATTACCTTTAAACGTGAGAAAACGCCCAGAAGTCTCTTTTGGAATTAAGCGGCATACAAATGAATAAATACAAGCTGCCGCTGCAACCGTTTCCTCTTTTACACAGCAGTGCAGAACCTCTAGCTTCTTAGTGAACCTACTCTCAATCCCTGAGCATTCCCTCAACATGGCTGCACTGTCGCTTTTATTTGCCTTTCTATGCCCAGTGAAGTTATTCTCTTGTTTTTGTTGTTGTTGAAGCACTTGAAAGCCAGCTCATACCCCACCCTCCAACAAATGATTGATTCATACAGTGACATTTAATAGTGCCAGCTGACATTAAGTGGTGGTGTAGTATTTTGACATTCCGCTCCAACTTCCAATTATTATTTCAAGATCCACTTAACAAGGACCCATTCAAACATCGGTGCAGGAAAAGCAGGGAGAAGTGAATAGGCTCCAGCATTAATGTTGGCCTAAAGTTAGAAAGGCCTAAATCAATATAAATTAATTTAACTATGATTTCTAATTGCATTATGTATGATCAACTGGAAATGTTACATTAAAGATAATTAGAGCGAGGTGCCAGTCACTAATCGTTTTCCTAATCCCTTAATAGTAAATTGAGGGTGGGAGTGTGTGGGGAAGGGAGGCAGGGGGTCTGTGCACCTCTATTTGTGTGGGTAAAAGGGCTGTCAACATACTGAATATTTTTAGTTGATTAATCACCTGAATTTTAATACGTTACTGGATTAATTAATTGATAATATTAAATGCAAACATTTCAAAAATTTGGAGAGTTGCGTAGGGGACAACTTTTGTATATCACTTCAGGGATCATTTCCCAGCAGAAAACACAGCCTTTGGATGAAGTGAAGAAAAGTCTATGAAACTCGCAACTTAATTTTTAAAGTGACCAAGTCATTTGGAGGAAACATAACTTACAGTGCAATCCGATACATGTCTACACAGAAGTAAATCCCACTGAATTCATTGGTGCTTACTCCTGGGTAAGTGGGTATAGGACTGCAACTGTAAATGTTTGCTTTCTCATTCTTTATTACTAGAACCCCAGAGCCAAAATACCACAAAAAGTGATTTATCTGTCCTTATCTTTTAGCTCCACTCATAAATTAACTAAAGCTTTAGTTGATTAATCTATTGATTAGAAATTGCAGCCTTAATTGCCTAATTATGCGTATACTGTACATACGTTTACACATGCAGATAGATCAGAAATCGAGAGAACAAGCCTTTCCCTTTTAACAGACTCTTTAATTCTCTGACTTTTGAATTAATGCCTGATGGATTTGTGTTATTATTTGGATTTCCTCTTTGTTCAGTATTTACCAGTGTGTGGCTTTACAAAAAGTGTCGTCTAGGATCATTGCTGTGGGCCTTATGCAAAAATGCCATGCTGTCCTAAAGGAGTGGATGTCAGTGGGTCAGGCAGGATGGAGGCGCTAACTTAGCATAATGGGTTTAACATTTCTGTGACATCATCAGAGAATCTGAAAAGGAGTGTAAGGATAATCAGACTGGTCATTCAGGAAAACGGTAAATATTTTATGAGGCTAGATAGGAGGCAGAAAAGAGGGTGGTCAGAAAGGTGAAGCACTGTTGCCTAGCTCTGTGAAGAGGCATTTCCTCTTGGTACCCAGAGCGATGGAGACTCTGCATATGCTTAATATTTGTTAATAGGGAAGAAAAGGCAGAGCCTGACCCCTAGAAATGCTAAATGCCAACTTGGTTGTTTTTTTGAAGTTCTCTGCAACCTGCGTTGTGTATTCACCACCACTGTAAAGGTTATTAATTTTTGCCCCTATCCCAAATCATTCGTCTTATATTTACAAGTGAAATGTCTGCATTATGTCCACCCTCCGTCTTCCCATTGTGAATGGCCAGTCTCAGTATATTCCCAGTTCAATAGGTGAAGTTCATTTGCATGTAGACTGACAGGGCAAAAAGTAAATTGAAGGGATTGCTGCCCCCCCGCCACTTCCCAGAAAAGCAACAAGATGGTGAGGTGTAGGTTTTATATTGCAAACCGCACTGCGATCCTTGGATGATGGGTGGGATATAAATTTAATATACAATAATAAATAAATAACTCCACAAGATACACTTCTGTGTTTGGTTTCATGTTTGCACCGCTGGATCAAGGATGGACATTTTGGTTACACCATATATCTTGGTAGGTTTCAGCTTCCAATGAGCCACTTTGCAACATAAAAAGTGTGAAAGGAATACATTTAGCAGCATACTCCACATGCAGGGCACAACTGGAGCTCTTTCAAGTCTTATCAACGTAAACCTGAGAAATCTAAGCATACAGTTACCTTTCCCATTTAAATCAATGGGGGAAATGTTTCCCTGTGGCTAGATGATGCCCACACTATCTATACTTGCTACAGTTAATTTTTCTCAAACATTTTGTTTTAAAAACTGCTCTTCTGATTTTCCATAAAATGCACAAGATGGTGGACAATTGCACTTGATTCATTTGTTCATTAGATCTATCTCTATCTCTATCTCTATCTCCATCTTTCTATAACTGGCCTCTCATTTCATGTGGTGTCTTGAATGGCTCACATCAATTCATTAAAATACAAATAAAAATGTAGTAAATAAAGATGTATTTGTTTTTTAAAGGAAAAGCATCAATGTTTTTCTAACATGTACCAGCAGGTAACGGCTATTCCCCAACCCAATGAAAAATCTGCCCTCAAAAATTTGGTAAAATTGGCCTCTGATGTGCTTTCTTTGGGAGGTGTTTCCATAACTGCAGCACCCAAATTGAGAATGCCCCATTCGCACCCTCACAGATCCCTTATTCCTAAACAAATGGAAATCAAAGTATGAATGTATGACTATGCAGAATTTAGAGTTTCCCACTCAGAGATAGTATTCTGTCCTACTTCGCTTTGTACTCTCCACTTTTGTTTCTCAGTATAGTTCATTTATTCTGTATTTCTAAAGCTTATACCCTGATTTCTCGTTTTTAATTAAAAATTGGGCAAGTGATGGACACATGAATAAGTCCTCACAGTACAAAGGTACAGAGCCAGCTCCAGATTGTCGCCTGTTATCCCAAGACTGTCAAGCAACATGAAACAAAAAATCATTTAACATTTTTAAAAACTGTTGGAAAGCATGAATAGGTTCAATTAAGCAGCCAACAAAACACTAAAGAGGGAAGCAATTTAAACCTCAGCAATTAAAGGTGCTTCCAAGAAGAAGACGAAGAAGAGGAAGAAGAAAGGTGGAACCATTTGAGGTCCCATAAGGAAACTTCTGACCAGGCTGTGGAAGATAAATCAAGAGGCAGGGAGGACTGAGAAGAGCTAACCTTGGGAGGGAGCTACACAGCCTGGCACCAGCCACTGAAAAGGCCCTCTACCAGCAGTTGCAATTAACATAAGAATATAAGAAGAGCCTAGTGGATCAGGCCAATGACCCATCTAGTCCAGCATCCTGTTCTCACAGAGGCCAACCAGATCCCTGTGGGAAACCAGCAAGAAGGATTTCAAGCACAAGAGCCACTCTCCCCTCCTGCAATTTCCAGTAACTGGTATTCAGAATCATTGCTGTGGAGGTAGAACTTAGCCATCATGTCTAGTAGGCATGTTTCTGGGGGCACTGAACAAATGCAAAAGAGCGGGGCTCCAAATACACAAAAACCAGGGGCCAAGTGAATGGATATAAGAATACAAGAAAAAAACCCAATAACAAATATAGTAATAAATATGAAGCTAGCTTCATAGGGAGATTTTGTATCTTCAGTTCAGTCGCCATGTTTTTTTTGGCTACTATATGTTTTTATGCACCTTGTTGCAATTCATTTCGCACATGTATTACTGTTGCATTGCATTCCTGTTACACTCGGTGACACCCACTATTTCTGCTATCATTTATGGATCCCACTGACTTTCTCTGTGGTTTCCACGGGGTGTTGGGATACACAGGAGAGCCTCTTACAATGATCTCAATAGGTGGACAGGTTCAGATGGGAGAAGGTGGTACCTTCAGGTACCTTGGTCCCAAACCATGAAGGGCTTTCAAAGGTCAATATTAAAACTTCAAACTTGGCCCAAAAGCAAACTGGAAGTCTCTATAGCTCTGCACGTGCTCCCTATATTGTGCCAAGATTACATGAAATCATACACCATTAAGTGTGTTGGGTGCAGCCAAGAAATTGGGGGCAATTGGCAGGCCCCCAGCTGACCCCAGCCCACCGGCCCGTGTGCCGGGTGATCTCCAGTCCTTGGATCAGCATGAAACTGCGACCCTAGCTTCAGAAGCCTTCAGAAGCTGGGCACACACACTCAGCAGAGTAAATAATGTTGCACAACAGAAGTGGCAGGGAGATGCTGTGTTGAGCATATTCACAAGCAGTTTATTCAGCATACATCAGGACAAAAGGAAAACGTGTCTTCTCCCCTTTGTGTCCAAAGCAAGCAGCATAAGCAAAAGCTATACACAAACGGAAGTTCCCAGCAAACTGTGCTGGAGTGTAAACAGGCATGTGACACACAACAATCATGCCTGTTCCTTAAGGTGGAACAGAATATCCCAACAAAGCGGAATAGGTCCTCTGGGGTTGGGTTCTGAGATGACACAGAATTGTGGGGGAGAGGAAACATGGAGCCTCAGGTTTGACAGCAGGAGATTGAGAAGTGTGATAGAGTGGTTAAAGCGTTTGACTAGGATCTTGGGAACCAGGGTTCAAAACCCCACTCAGCCCTGAAGCTCATTGGGTGACCTTGAGCCGATCACTGTCTCTCAGCCTCAACTACCTCACAGGGTTGTTGAGGGGATAGAATGTGGAGTGGGAGAATCATTTGTGCCACCTTGAGCTCCTTAGAGGAAAGCTGGGATATAAATGTAATAAACAAGGAGAAAATATCTAGCTTCAAATACACAAACTTTAATTGTTACTTTATTTATTCATTTGATTACTTTCCTGTCCATAAGGGCCCAAGGTGGGCGACAACAATAAAATATCCATATTCTGGGATAGCTCAGTCGGTAGAGCATGAGACTCTTAATCTCAGGGTTGTGAGTTTGAGCCCCACATTGGGCAAAAGATTCCTGCATTGCAGGGGGTTGGACTAGATGACCGTCATGGTCCCTTGCAGCTCGACAATTGTATGATTCTATGAAAATGAGTAAAACCTAAGTTAACTTATGAGAGAACCCACAAAAAACCCTCTATACACTCAACTACCGCTTGGTTTATCTCTGCCCCCAAAAGGATAACTCAAAGCAATTCATTGGACATGAGAGCAAAGTTAATGTGAGTTTGACTGTGGTCATCTGGTCTGTAAGGTTATAAAAGGCATTGAAATCGTAGATTTAGCTTTCGGTCACATTATCTCTCCTGCCCCTCTCGTTGGCTGACTGATTCTTCTGCTTGTGCGGAGAGTCGCTGAGCATTGCAGGGTAATGAATTTCAGCAAGTACGTTAGCAGAAACTTTAATGACGTCTTTTTTATGGTGTGTAAAAATCATAGTGGCAGTTTTGCTTCTCGATAATAAGGCTAAGTAAATTTTGATCAGCAGCATGTTTTAGCACCGTTCAGAGAAAATAATTGGGGGTGACCATCTTGCCTTAGCTAGCAGAGTGGGCAGGCAACAGAGAGCTCTGGCAAAGTATTTGTCCTATGTGAACTGAATGTCATTTCTCATAACTGAGTACCAGTTTAGGATTCATAAATAGGTGGCAGTATGTCTCCCCCTTTCCCCCCCAAAATGAAAAAGCTTCACTTCCATCTGAGAAGGGCACTTTAAAAGCTTTAGGAACCTGGAGAAGTGGGGTGTGTGTGTGCTTTTAACATCTCTTTAAAAATTAATATGCAAATAGGACTGCACTTATTTTTAAAGAATCCTTTGCAACATTGGTAACAGACGTTGATTTCACATCTATATGGGGAAACCTAAGTTTGATCCCTGAATGAGTGTTAGATCCTAAGTCAGCCTTCCACAAGTAGGAGGACTCAGTCTTTGAGCAGATGACTCATTTTGTGAGCGAAAGGACTTCTTTGGACCTCCACCGTTGTGATGAATTCCACACTGGGCTTATTTTGAGCAAGGACTCAAGAGGCTTAGAGCCAGTGTGGTGTAGTGGTTAAGAGCGGTAGTCTCGTAATCTGGGGAACCGGGTTCGTGTCTCCGCTCCTGCACGTGCAGCTGCTGGGTGGTGACCTTGGGCCAGTCGCACTTCTTTGAAGTCTCTCAGCCCCACTCACCTCACAGAGTGTTTGTTGTGGGGGAGGAAGGGAAAGGAGTTTGTTAGCTGCTTTGAGACTCCTGAAGGGGAGTGAAAGGCGGGATATCAAGTCCAAACTCTTCTTCTTCAGTACGTGCTTTGGAGATTTAGCTAAGAAACACATATAATTAAAATAGATAATCTCTGGTAAGGTGCAGAGTGGCTCCCTCCCCCTGAGTAACTAGCACTCATTCTTATCTAGGAAGGTTTCCAGGGCACAAGGGTATTTTTTTATTTATTGCATTTTAAAATTTCATTTATATCCCACCTTCTGTTCCAAGGAGGTCAAGGTGGCACACGTGGTTCTTCCTCTCCTCATTTAATTTCCACAACAATGCTGTGACGTAGTTTATGCCAAAAGAAAATGACTAGCCCACAGAAGTGACTAGCAAGCGTCATGTCTGAGTGGGGATTCAAACCCTGGTCTCCCAGGTCCTAGTCCAACACTCTAACCACTACACCCTCTGGCAAATTGTTATTGCCATCATTGCCATTGTTAGTATTTACTGATCTTAGATTCCAGTACCTTCCCTCTCTGCTCCGTATGTTTGAGAAAGGCAGCTGTTGCCTATAAAAGCTCATACCAAAAGATGTATCCTCATTTGTAAGAAGCCGTAGCAGTGGTATAGCATAGGGGGCCCTCTGGGGCAGTTGCCCCGGTGCAAAAATGGTTAGGGGGCACAAAAGATCAACACCTGGTGCTGCCTCAATAAAGCTGTGTGCTTCTGTTGCTGGGCTCAGTCGAAAACAGCTTCTCTGTGTGAACCAGGAAGTGACCTCTCCAGACAACAGAAGACTCTTCTTTTCTTACCTCTGCAGTTGCAATCTCCTGGATGACATGAATGCCATTGGGCAGTTGAATGTACATGCATTCTCCGTCCATTTCTGTGATGCTCTGGGCACTGGCAAGCCACACTATGCCACTGGGCCATAGGCTCTTTTGAGTGCTATTCTGCCATCCATGCAGGGATCAAGAAACATGCTAGGCTGCAGCACAGCAAGCGGAGATCTTCACTCCTTTTACTGGGTCACCAAATGACTTGGATCCCACATTCCCAGGTGATTCCTGCCTGGAGAAGTGGTAAGTGCAGTGTGCAAGAAGGCTCACAATTCTAAGCAGGATGGGAGTCAAGAGAAGGGAATATGCTGGCCTTACACCTACCCATGCTTGCTACTTAGCAATAGTAATATGTGTGGCTAGTAACACACTTATATTGAGATCACCATTGCTGAGTACCAAGTAAGAAAGGAGAAATAGGCAAGGACAGTGTCTTTTCTTCTTATCTCTCTTACAACTCCATTGTGGTGTTCAGAACTATGGAACACTGATTTTCATTCACAAAGGGCACAATCAGGGCTTTTCCCCCCAGCTGGAACTCACTGGAACTCAGTTCCAACATCATTGCCATTCTAAGAGAACAAGGGAGGTGTTCATGGTGAATTCCTGCACCTCTTCTTCTAAAGAAATAGCACTGGGCGCAATCTTTAGTAGATCTTGCCTAATTAACAGACGTTGGATCCAGAGGGTATCCTTCTATGAGGGGAAAGGCTTTCACTCAACTTAGAGCAAGATTCTTGCATGAGAAAAGAACTGAAATCTAGAGGGTGCCCTTATGAGCACATGGTATTGCACAGTCTCTCAAGATCCATGCTGCACTGCCAGGTCTCACACAACAGCTTTCAGAACGGGGCCACCACCAGAATTTCTTCCACTGCCATATCTTTGGGTCCATCCCAGTCAAAACATATGGCCGTTTCTAACAGGAGAGATTGGGTAGTGTTCCTCCGTGCTGGCTTGGCTGTAGATCTGTGCCACATGTTTACTCGTATAACGCTGGTTCTTCCTGATCGCTTTCAGATCATGCCCCCAACTTTGCCAGGTTCCGAATGAATGATATGTGGGATGGCTTGGGAAGAGAATAGACAAAAGGAAGCAAAGAATGCAGAGTTCAAGCTTCCGATGGATTTATAGGAAAACGTGGAAACATTAAACAAGTAAATTGGATTAGGAACTAGATGAATCAAATGACCTTCCTCACTCTCAATCATATGCTGCCAGCTAAGTGTTTGAGTCTGAAAAATTGCACTAATGAAGCTATTTGAAGGCTTTTGTGGACAACTGCTTCCTCTTTGAAGATTAAATGAATGATGTTGATGTGATTAATCTTAGTACAGGGAGTAATGCAGCAGCCAGAAAATACCTTAGTGATTTTCATAATTAAACTGAATCAACATTTCAAAGAAATGCCAGTGTTATCACTTGTACATTAGAATTACGTTCATTAGACAGAAGAAACAAATAATTTGAGCAAACAAGATTTTTCTTTTGGTGTACTGAGACTTCCTGTCATGTCTTTGAGCCTCTTATTATAAATCACCCCTCCTGTTTAATTTTAGCCTTGCTTTTTTTTCCTCGGGACTTGTTTTCTGTTTATTTTCATTAGCACAATCCTAATGAATTCCTAGTGACTTGCTTTACAGCTTCCTTTTTCAGCCCAGGTCATTCTTTGTCTAGAAATCATTTCCTTGGGTGACTTAAGACCACACTCCTGTAACTTAAGACTACATAAGTAGCAGAAACATGTGTTTTGATGTCAAGGGATCGACATCAGTACCCTACTTCTGACAGGCTGCTTTTATGACAAGAGGAGTTGATGCCTCTGAGTTAGATTTAAAACAAACAAATTCAGGCATATTCCCAGCCTATCAACATCTATAACCTGTGCTAGCCAAATTGAGCCTTCACTTTCAGATGCAGTGTATCTCTAGATCAGTTGCAGGACACAGTCAACAGGGAATTAATGTTGCCTCCATGCCCTACCTATTAGCTAAAGGCACTTAGCTGACTACTATTGGAAACAGAATTCTATTCTAGATGGAGCAAGAGTTGGGAATCTGTGGTCCTCTAGATTTTGCTGACCATTGCTCATGCTTGGCTGGGGATGAAGGGAGTTGAAGTCCAACCACACCTGGAGAGCCAAAGCCCTTCTCCATCTGTCAAGAAGACTAATGTTCTGTTGAGCAAAGCCGGTCTTATGTTCTTCCTCTCTTTTCTTCAGAGCTGGAGTCTAAATCTGAAACTCAAAGAACGAGGCAGGTCACCTTGGGGAAACCCTGGGAGATGAGCAACAACCTTCATCTTCACCTCCGAAAGATCTATGCACATCTTGGCCCAGCTTAGAAGGCTAGTGAAAAATATTCGGGGCAGAATTTCCATGCACTGGGCACTTGTCCAGTTCCACTGACTGAAAGTTGCTTGGTGGGATGGTTTCTTTACTGGATTTTCTACATGTGACTTGCACAAGGTAGAGAAAGCATCAGCACAGTGACATGAATGAAAGAACAACTTACCAAAGAAAAACCCCACAGCAATGTAAAATGACATGGAGGACAATTATGATTAAACTGCAAAGACTGTTTTAATAATAATAATAATAATAATAATAATAATAATAATAATAATGGTTTCCAGTTCCTTGTGTATGGATCCTAGTCATACATTACAGCATGAACAGCTGAATCTAGTTATCACATGAGAAGGGGTGGAGAATCTGGATATTACCATGTCATCCTAGGTCTGTTCTGGCAAGCGGAGGGACTAGCCCAGGAATGCCCCACCAAGCACCTGGAATCCAGCCATGAGGATATGACTGGCAACCAGGCCACAGAAGTGGTGTATATATTTATACTCTACAAATTGAAAGCAACCCAGTACATACCCATTTCTTATCCACAAAGTTGTTCTCTTTTGGTCTAGACAGAATGCTTTGGGCTCATCATACTGTCTTTGAACCACACTGGTGCAGCGAGTGGGACAT